ACATGATCCCGAACGAAGGTATCTTTCGATCAACATGTTTGTAAATAAGGTACTTGGTAAACGATCTGGATATGAGAAGGGCTTGGGGTATGGAGTTGTGCCTTCTAAATGTTCGAAGAGGTCAACATGTGAATCTTCACAATTGAAGACAGTTCAAGAAAAGTTGAGTGTTACTGAAGATGAATTGAAAGATGCTACTTGTCGTATTAAATCCCAACAAGAATTGATTCAAACGCAAGAAGCACTAATTCAAAACTATGATGACCGTTGCAAAAAGCAAGATGATGAAATACAAGGCCTAAGGGAAGGGCAAGACGAATTGAAGCAAATGCTATTGCGTTTATTGCAACAAAATAGTTCAAGCAATCAAGACAAACTTTGTAAGTTATATATGTTTGTTGCTATCATTTTCATATTTTAATTTTATTTTATGTTAGTGTGCTGATTTTTGATAAAATATAAGTTGATTAGAACTGTGATAAAATTTGGTTCCATATTCCTTTAATTTGGTGTTGTATAATATGTTTATGTGTGATTATTTTTGGGCATATGTTTGATCTGAGCATTTTTGTCTTCTTGAAATCTTTATTGATAAATAATTTGTTTGATTACTCTTATTACATGCTTGAACAGGAGATGATATGACTTAAGGAATTTTTTTCCAGAAATGTGTGCTTAAAATTTGACTTTGGAAATAGGTATCTTCTTCCAAATTTTTTTCATACAACCTTATAGTTTTGTTTTTCTAATGTATTTTTACTGGTTTTATGCTTAAACGTCTAATAGAATTTAAATAATGCTTATATTTGCAGGTTTTTGGTGTTAATACAACAAAGAATGGTCCAGTGTAAAGTTTTGAAAGTTAGCTTGTATTTTGATCAATCATGCATCACTAAGGATACTATTTAGAACATTTTGCTACTTCTCAATTGTTTTTGAGTCCTGATGTATCTTTGAAGCATGTATCTACAATGAAATGTTTGGTGTTTATAATCGATATAAATTTTTTAATGTTATATTATCTTACATAATTATTTTGAATGAATATTCTTGTTGTCAGAATTCTCAATTCATTTTTTTTATTCTACAAAAAAAATTAAAAATAATATCAAAAAAAAAAAAAGTATTGGTGAGTATATCATTGTCATAAGAAGTTTTTGTAACCATGACATTATTATATTTTAAATTTCATGAATCTGATTATTGTTAACGAATTCTGACTTTCGTAACGACTAAAAATATATAGCGACGATAGTATTTGTTACAACTAATATGCTATTGTAACCAATTTTATTTCGTTACCAATGTATTAGTGACGAATAATAAGAAATCGTTACCTAAACTTCTAGCGTCGAGCTTTACACGACAAAGAAAGGTAACAAATTATGTCGTTACGAAACGTTAAGGTGACGAATTATTGACATTTGGCGACCAATTTCGTCGTTACCACAGGCGATTTTTCTTGTAGTGACAAATCAACAAACATGCATAACCACACTCGCTCAAATGGACATGCACAACCGTACGTGTAAAGAAACATGCGCATAACTACATTCGCAACAACGTTCTTAAAAACACGAACTTCATCACTAGGACTTTAATACGCATAACCAAACAATAACAAAATTACTAGAAACAAAACATATACAGTGGAGTGTAGAAATAACACTCTACGTTTACGTTTACGTTGATTTTTTTGGATTAATTTATATTTATGTTTTAATTGGTGGATTTAGTATCTTATAGGTTAAAATCGAAAATTAGGTGTCCATGAAGCAAAAATGATCAAAGAGTAACAAAAGAGTATCAATTAGGAAAATAAAATAAAATTAGAAGAGAGGATCCCTCAACATCTTTGGTAGTGTCCACGAAGTCGAGCATAACTTTCTCATCCGGACTCCAAATCAATTGGTTTTGACGGCATTAGAAAGCTATTTCAGATGGCTACAATTCCTACCTAACGTCAAAATTCATAATTCGGACTCGAACATGGTCAAAATAGGATTCCAAAAGCGATCACGAAAATACGTGCTACAGTTCGAGGACATGAATGCGCATCACGAAACATTTACAAAAACACTCGCTAGAAAAGATACGCACATCAATAAAAGTACAAAAGCATGCACAAAAGTACTCACGCAAAAGGGCATTCGCAAAAAGGATCATGAAAACACAAACTACAATCCTAGGACATTGATACAAATCAACAAACATGCACAAACAGACTCGCTCAAATTGACATGCACAAACGTACATGTAGAAAAACATGAGCAAAAGTGCATTCGCAACAAGGTTCTTAAAAACATTACAAGACTAGGACTTTAATACGCATAACCAAACAACAACAAAACCACTAGATACAAAAGATACTGTGGAATGTAGATTTAGTATCTTATAGGTACAAATCGAAAATTAGGTGTCCATGAAGCAAAAATGATCAAAGAGTAACAAAAGAGTTGGAATTAGGAAAATAAAATCAAATTAGAAGAGTGGATCCCTCAACATCTTTGGTAGTGTCCACGAAGTCGAGCATAACTTTCTCATACGGACTCCAAATCAACTGGTCCCGGCGGCATTAGAAAGCTATTTAAGCTGGCTACAATTCCTGTCTAACGTCCAATATCCAAATTCCGACTCGAACATGGTCAAAATTTGATTCCAAAAGCGATCACGAAAATACGTACTACAGTTCGAGGTCATGAATGGGCATCAAGAAACATGCACAAAAACACTCGCTAGAAAAGATACACACATAAGTTAAAGAACAAAAGCATGCACGCAAAAATGCATTCGCAAAAAGGATCATGGAAACACAAACTACAATCCTAGGACATTAATACAAATCAACAAACATGCATAAACGCACTAAATCAAATGGACATGCACAAACGTACGTGTAAAAAAACATGCGCATAACAACATTCGCAACAACGTTCTTAAAAACACGAACTACAACACTAGGACTTTAATACGCATAACCAAACAACAACAAAATAACTAGAAACAAAAGATATAGTGGAGTGTAGAAATAACACTCTACGTTTACGTTTAATTGGATTTTTTTGTATTAATTTATATTTCTGTTTTAATTGGTGGATTTAGTATCTTATAGGTACAAATCGAAATTAGGTGTCCATGAAGCAAAAATGATCAAAGAGTAACAAAAGAGTCGCAACTAGAAAAATAAAATCAAATTAGAAGAGAGGATCCCTCAACATCTTTGGTAGTGTCCACGAAGTCGAGCATAACTTTTTCATCCGGACTCCAAATCAGCTGGTTCTGGCGCCATTAGAAAGCTATTTCAGCTGGCTACAAATCCTACCTAACGTCAAAATTCACAATTCGGACACGAACATGGTCAAAATTGGATTTCAAAAGCGATCACGAAAATACGTTCTACAGTTCGAGGACACAAATGCGCATCAAGAAACATGCACAAAAACACTCTCTAGAAAAGAAACGCACATAAGTAAAGCAAAAGCATGCACAAAAGTACTCACGCAAAAGTGCATTCGCAAAAAGGATCATGAAAGCACAAACTACAATCCTAGGACATTAATACAAATCAACAAACATGCAGAAACACACTCGCTAGAAAAGATACGCACATAAGTGAAAGTACAAAAGCATGCACGCAAAAGTGCATTCGCAAAAAGGATCATGGTAACACGAACTACAATCCTAGAACATTAATACAAATCAACAAACATGCATAACCACACTCGCTCAAATGGACATGCACAACCGTACGTGTAAAGAAACGCAGCGGAATTTAAAAATTTTACATCGAACTAGTTTCGATTACATGCATAAACTAATCACATAGTCAACGTACCTTAAAGCTTCCGCCATACATATGGTAATTATTGATTTAATTGAAAAATACGTAAAACCGAAAATTACGAAACATGCTTATTCATCATTCAATAAAATCGAAACACGTAATCACATATTACTCATAATCTTAAATTATAATTCATACAAACATGATCGAATTAATTTACGATAGTTTCGATTTATTTACCTCTTGTAGCATGAGATTTCGACGAATCGAAACCTAAAACGAATCACGTACAAGCTGCAAATTACCAATCCTCGGGGCTGCAACTCACGGCTGGAACAAGCTGATCCAGCAAGCGACGAACGGCAGCAGCAGCGGCGGCGCGTGGCAGTAGCAGCGGCGGCGCGTGCGGCGGTGCGTGGATTCGTCGGGGCAGCAGCTCCTCTCCAATTAGGTTTCACCTCGTATTTTCGACCCACTCGAACTACAACACTAGATGTAAACGAGTTAGATAACAACAAGAATAAAAATGAAGGAAACGAGAGGAGAAAACCGGCGGTTTTCCGGCGGTGGTCGGCGGTGGCGCGGCGGGGCAGCAACGGCCGAAGGGGGCTGAGCGGCTAGGGTTTTTTTGCTGAAAATCTGATCTCAAACTCTTGTTTGAGGTCTATTTTTACCTAGGGTTTTCAACCCTAGTGGGTTTAAGTCATTGGGCTTGACCCACTGATGCATTAAGCCCATTCCCTCGTCGGCCTCGTTTCTAATAAACGATCGTCCACAAAATTATAACAAAATTATATTTGTGACGAGCTCAAAGTCCTCGTCGATGCGAGTGCCTCTTCGAAATTTCCAATTTCCAAAATTGGAAACTTCCACTTTTGTGGACTTGCTAAATCGGGAAACTTCCCGATTTAGAAAGTTCACTAAATTCCGCATGTCTCTCTTTCTCTACGTTTATTCCGATTCGCAATCCACAATTACGAATCTTGGATTCAATCATATCGACATCCAATCGTTCAAAGATTAACACATTAATCTATGCTTGTTGTTATCAAGGATCTATATTACACGAGAAGTGTGACCCTCAATGGTTCAGGTGTATGCTAGCCGTGGGCTCACAACTCTTTGTGATTCGAACAACACATTGTTCGTATACGAACTCCTCCCAAGAGTCCTGATTAGAGTAAAACTCATTTTATCTAATCCCGATCAAATCGGTGCCCAACGAATCAAGATTGGCGTCTAGCAACTACGCATCATGATTCCCTAGATACAAGTGAAGTGCGTGCAAGAACCTTATGATATAGTTAGCGTACAGTACGATCCTTTCGTAGCACATGTCCCGATTGAACTAGAGGCATTGGTTCACCGAGACCTCTTATAAAGTTCAATAACCGTGCGAACGTTCTAGGTATTATAAATCCGTTCGTGTGCGACTTAGGGAAACACATTTCGCTAATCAACCCACTATCAACTCTGGCAAGAGATTCCTTGGATTATAAACCGTCAGAACACACAGGACATCCATGACTACTCAAGCGCTCGAATCCCCTACTACAATGCACATACTTCACACTAGATTTCGGATTGCACGAACGTTGGCCCTTGGAGTGGTCCGTTCAAAGTTGGCTTGCCGGTCACCTACTCTAACACATGCACAACCGTACGTGTAAAGAAACATGCACATAACAGCATTCGCAACAACGTTCTTAAAAACACGAACTTCATCACTAGGACTTTAATATGCATAACCAAACAACAACAAAATTACTAGAAATAACACTCTACGTTTAGGTTTACGTTGATTTTTTTGGATTAATTTATATTTCAGTTTTAATTGGTGGATTTAGTATCTTATAGGTTAAAATCGAAAATTAGGTGTCCATGAAGCAAAAATGATCAAAGAGTAACAAAAGAGTCTCAATTAGGAAAATAAAATCAAATTAGAAGAGAGGATCCCTCAACATCTTTGGTAGTGTCCACGAAGTCGAGCATAACTTTCTCATCCGGACTCCAAATCAACTGGTTCTGGCGGCATTAGAAAGCTATTTCAGATGGCTACAATTCCTACCTAACGTCAAAATTCATAATTCGGACTCGAACATGGTCAAAATAGGATTCCAAAAGCGATCACGAAAATACGTACTACAGTTTGAGGACATGAATGCGCATCAAGAAACATTTACAAAAACACTCGCTAGAAAAGATACGCACATCAATAAAAGTACAAAAGCATGC